ATTTAGTTTATTAAAATATAAATTCCATAAAGAAACTAAAAAAACCTGACAATTGAAGCTGATTGAAGACGTCAGCAGTCAACTTACGAAGTGGGTAGGGTTGTAAAGTAACTAAGTACAAATACTTTGTTACTGTACTTAAGTAGAAATTTTGGTTATCTGTACTTTACTTGAGTAATTATTTTTCTGCATACGTTTTACTTTTACTCATTACATGTTTACAAAATTATCTTTACTTTCTACTCCTAACGTTTTTTAAAAAAGGTAAGAAGTAGAAAGTCGTTACTCCTAATTTATTCCGAGTTATTATTAAAAAAATACTATCCTGATAAATTGTGTCTCCTGGATAGAGTGAATTTAATTGTGTTTAGATGATAAGTACAAATATTTACCATTCTGACACACTATTAGTTTGTACACAACCCATCACAGTTGCATGCTGTTAGAAAATATATGTTTTGGAGAAGTCACCTCCCAATAAATGTCGTTTAGGAAAATCTAACTGCTCACTTTTACTCAATACTTTTACTTTTAATACTTACACTTACCTGTTAATACTTACTGTGTCAGAAATTTACTTTTGATACTTAAGTACAAAAAATATCAGCTACTTTAAGACTTTTACTCAAGTAATATTCTTAGAGAAGACTAACTGTTACCAAAGTATTTTTACAATAAGATACTTGTACTTTTACTCAAGTATCACTTTCAGGTACTTTATACAACACTGGAAGTGGGTAGAGTTGAGCGATATTGGCAAAAACTTAATCACAATTAATTGTGGTTTTTAGCCGATAATGATAAATATGACGATAGAGTCCCTGTACGCCTGCATGTCCTCGTCACATGACCAATTTAAATCACTCTAATGGGAAAGATGTGCTCTCCATAAAAATCTGTTCCAAATTGTGTCAAAAGTACAGACTACAGGCTACATGTCAACTTTTAAATTGTGTTAATAGAGCAAGTAAAACCAGAGTTATGATAAATAAATTACAGATTTTTTAAAAAATGTTGGTCATATTTGAAGCAGAGAGGATCACCGAGCGAACTGACCGGGGAAACCTCCAGTCAGTCTGCCTGGTGGCATTATTCCTATTAATAGTCAAGTGCCAAAAAAATTATTGATTAAATTTTTTCTGATGATTAATTGCACGATATGACTTTGCCCAACCCTAGAAGTGGATCCATTTGGGTTGTTTAGTGGACTCACGTTTGGTCCTGATTAGTTACAGCTAATCAACCTTAACACAAACATTGCTTTATTTTAGTCATTTTGACAGGTAGCTGAGAGTTGTCAGATGGGTCATATACACTCACCGGCCACTTTATTAGGTACACCTGTCCAACTGCTCGTTAACACTTAATTTCTAATCAGCCAATCACATGGCGGCAACTCAGTGCATTTAGGCATGTAGACGTAGACATGGTCAAGACAATCTTCTGCAGTTCAAACCGAGCATCAGTATGGGGAAGAAAGGTGATTTGAGTGCCTTTGAAC